AACACCATTCCATATCCCCCTCACTCTGGCCCCTAGCAACCAGTCTTTCTTTATTTTAAATAAATAAGTTCCAGGATAGCTGCTTTGCCAAAATTAAATATATACCATTCAAAGGGTGTTTGACTTTGGTCAGCTTCCTTCATTTCTACTTATTAAGTGGAAGGCAAAGGTGAACTCTGACATCAGAATGGACTGTGTTCCTATTGGCTGAACTTGCCTGGGGTCCTCACAGACAGGGGGAAGAAGACCCACTTTCATTAAGTAAAGAGAGCAAACAGCTGTTGTTCCACAGAACATATTAGATTGTGGTCTTTTTCTTTTTCTTTTCTTTTTTTTTTTGAGACGAATTCTTGCACTGTCGCCCAGGTTGGAGTGGTGCAATCTCCGCTCACTGCAACCTCTGCCTCCCGGGTTCAAGTGATTCTCCTGCCTCAGCCTCCTAAGTAGCTGGGATTATAGGCACCCAAATTGTGGTCTCTCTTGGGGTTCTAAATATACTGTACAAACTCCTTTATTTTGGAGGCATCCTCTGTTTTGCAATGGAATTCTTATTTGCTGGTAGATCAGTCAGGATGGGTAGGATAATACTGAAGAAAAAGCACTTCAGTCTCAGTGGCTTCACATATGCCTTATCCTTTCCGGCGTGATCGAGGCTGGCCCCGGAGCCGTACTCATCCTGGACTCCTATGGATCCAGGCAGACAGAAGCTCTGTCTTGATACAACGCTTCTGTGACTGTGGCAAAGGTGTAAAAGTGGGGCGAATCAGGCTTTTGTTGAGTAGTGACATAACTTCTACTCACATTTATTGGCCAAAGCCAAGTGCCATGGCCATGCCTGGCTTCAGAGGGGGCCAGAAAGTTCTATTCTCCCATATTCCTAGAATGATAAGGACTGTAAATATTGAATGGTCACGCCTGTAATCCCAGCACTTTGGGAAGCATTGGCGGGCTGATACTTGAGGTCAGAAGTTCAAGATCAGCCTGGCCAACATGGTGAAATCCCATCTTTGCTAAACATACAAAAATTAGCTGGGCATGGTGGTGCACGTCTGTAATCCCAGCACTTTGGGAGGCTGAGGTAGGCGGATCACTTGAGGTCAGGAGTTTGAGACTAGACTGGACAACATGGTGAAAACCTGTCTCTGCTAAAAATACAAATATCAGGCATGCTGGTGGGTGCCTTTAATCCCAGCTACTCGGGAGGCTGCTGAGGCAGGAGAATCTCTTGAACCTTGGAGGTGGAGGTTGCAGTGAGCCAAGATCGTGCTACTGCACTCCAGCCTGGGCGACAAAGAGATTCATTCCTAAAAAAAAAAAAAAAAAAAGGGTGATGATGGCATGAACTCCACTAAAATCTAAAAGCTCCTTTCCACTGAGCCATGCAAACAAAATGGAAAACATGTTTCCGGTCAGGGAACCAGCTTTTACCTGGTACTGCCAGCCACTTGGGAGCGGAAATAAATGGTAGAGAAGGGCGCAGTTTTTTGGAGCTTCCTTTGTAGTTTTGAAAGGACAATTTTTAATGAAAACTGGAATATAAGGTATCATATTTTTAGCATAGTTATAGAAAAATTAGACTAAAATGTTCGGGTAATATATCTTGGAAGGATCTTTTTGAAACTTTATATTATGGTTTAATACACATTTAACGTCTTTACAGAAAAGGGCACATTTTGGTGATGTTTAGCAAACTCAACTTACTCCTGTCATACACCCATGTAACCAGCACCCAGATCAAGAAACAGAAGGTGGCCAGTGCCCCAGAAGCCTCTCTTGTGCTTCTTACCTGTTTCTACCCATTGCACTTCATCCCACCGAACACCCTGGCCTCTCTCTCTCTTTTTATTTTATTTCATTTTTTTTAAGACGAGGTTTCACCATGTTGGTCAGGCTGGTCTTGAACTCCCGACCTCAGGTGATCTGCCTGCCTTGGCTTCCAAAGTGCTTGGATTACAGGTGTGAGCCACCACGCCCAGCCTAACCCTGGCCTCTCAACTTCTAATAATGTATACTAGTTTATCTGTGTTGGTACTTGATATGGTTTGGCTGTGTCCCCACTCAAATCTACTCTTGAATTGTAGTTCCCATAATCCCCACGTGTCATAGGAGGGACTCATTGGGAAATAATTGAATCATGGAGGCGGTTACCTCCATGCTGTTCTTGTGATATTGAGTTCTCACTAGATCTGATGGTTTTATAAGGGGCTTCCCCCTGTCCTCTTCATTCTTCACTTCTCCCTGCTGCTACCATGTGAAGAAGGATGTGTTTGCTTTTCCCCTTCTGGCATGATTGTAAGTTTCCTGAGCCCCCCCTCCAAACCCAGCTATGCTGAACTGTGAGTCAATTAAACTTCTTTCCTTTATAAATTACCCAGTCTTAGGTATTTATTTGTTAGCAGCATGAGAATGGACTAATACAGTACTTTATATAAATAGAATCCTACAGTATATACTCCAGTGTTTCTGCTTTCTTTCCCAACATTATGTGTGCAAGATTTATCTGTGTTAGTCTGTAGCTACAGATCCTTCGTTCTTGCTGTATGGTATTTCATTGTGTGATTATCCCACATATTCCTCATTTCTCCTATTGGTGGGCATCTGGATGGTGTCCGTGGGGCATGTTTTGGTATGTATATTTTTATGTGCATATGAATGCATTTCTCCCGAGTATATACCCAGAGTACATTTTCTGGGTCACAGGGTATGCATATATTCATCTTTAGTGGGTAATATCTAACAGCTTTCTAAAGCAGTTCTACAAGTTTACTCCAGCCAGCGGCCAGCAGTGCAGACGAGTTCTGGTTACTCCGTGTCTTTGCCAACACTGGGTATTTTCATCTTGGAAGTTTTTTTTTCCTTTTTTTAAGGAAATAATCCTTATCAGATTATCTTTCCATCTGAGCTGGTTCCTTTCCTAATTTAAAAAAAGGGAGAAAGTAACCCCACCTAATGAGATGCCCATTCATTGTGAGGCACTGGGAGATCAGTGATCAAACTTTGTGCCGTGCACCGGTAGGAGCAAGCTTGGTGCTTTCATGAGATGCAGGAGGGCCTCTCTTTTTCTGGTGGAACTTCAAGGTGATACATAAGGACAAACTGTAAGATAATGACCTGCAAAGAGGAGGTAACTATAAAATAAAATGAAGCAGATTTAAAGTTTATATTAATCTCATATATAGACATGCATTTCCCCCCCTTAAGTTTCTCCACCAGAAGTCCTCACCTGTGGCTTCTGTCTTTATCACCTCTCCTCCCCCTCAGTCCTAACGAGGTGATTCCATTTGCTTTGTCAGGTGGTATTTCTGCTGTTTCTTCTTGAGCTTGTATAGCATATTGAAATCTTCTTTATCCACAGGCAAAATATTTTTTATCCACGTAACAACTGCTGGACCAGTTAGGTTTGCCCAGTGGGTGGTGACTTGGTTGGCTGACACCCCATTTTTTTTTTTTTTTAAATAAGTGAGAGGTTCTTATGTTGCCCAGGCTGGCATCGAATAGCCTCGCCTCCTCAAGTGCCAGGATAACTGGCCTGAGTCACGGCGGCTCCCAGGTGACACCATTTTTAATATTTGACGCTGTTTCTTCTGTGGAATGCAAAACTGATGAGATTCAGAAATAATAAAGATACAATATTCTCTTGGCTTAAATTTCAGCTGCCAGCCAGCATAGAGTCATAAGCTGATGGGGTCCTGTTAATAGGATTTTTGTTTACAAGTGGCTGGGCATAGTGGCTCACTCCTGTAATACCAGCACTTTGGGAGGCCAAGGTGGGTGAATCACTTGAGGTCAGGAGTTTGAGACCAGCCTGGGCAACATAGTGAAACCATCTCTACTAAAAATATAAAACTCAGCCAGACATGGTAGCACACGCCTGTAGTCCAAGCTATTAGGGAGGCTGAGGCATGAGAATTGCTTGAATCTGGAAGGCGGAGGTTGCAGTGAGTCCAGATTGTGCCACTGCACTCCAGCCTGGGTGACAGAGCAAGACCCTGTCTCAGAATAAAAAAAAAAAAAAAAGAATTTTGTTTACAAGCCTTCACTCAAATGATTAGAAAACTAAAAAGGTGCTCCAAAGGAAAAAACTATTAAACGCTTTTGTGCATGAAAAATGATGTTAGGAGCTGCTTTAGTATTGTAGTGTCTGAATAGACTATTTCTTGAGATGGGCTAACTTCTGAGCATGTATTGCACCCTTCTGGGCTTAAGAGAATACCTAGAAAAGTCCAGTATCTCCTGATTTTTAAAAACTCATTGATTGAATGCCTAAAGAATCATTAATAGCAAGTTATCACACATGAACTGTCTCTTCAAAACTATTCTGACTTTTACCTTTCAGAACCTGAGTCACGCCAATCCCACTTAGGTCACCTGTCCATTGGTGGTTGTCACACCGTTTTCTTAATGTCCTTCTCAAAAAGGCCACTTTTAGCCCATGGAGTGTTGCTGGCCGGCTGCAATTCATAGAGGCTCCCATGGAGCCCCACAAGACAGTACTTCTTCTGGCTACTCGACTGCTTCCCCAGCTGTAGTTGTCTTGCTGCTTAGTGCCAGGATGGGACCTTTGGATTTGGGTTGCAGTGGTTCACTAGGAGCGGGGCTGTTGTAGCTTCCTATGTCAGTGAAGTCCCTCACTCCCACGCACGCCCTGTAACTGACCAGTCCTATCTGGAAATTGACCTTTGCTTCATAGCAACCCTCCTGAGTAGACACCAAGCTGTGTTAGGAGTATCAATTTCACAAGTGAGTTCAGTTTGTACACTGAGTGAGCAGACATGGTGGCTTCATTCAGGACAGCCCTTGAAGTTGAGGAGGGGAGGGGGGCATCTGACCTGAGACTCACTTTTTGTTATTGATTTCCTGAAGGAGGAGGAGGAGGTCAGGTTAGCCTTATCTATGGGTGTCTAGACCTGACATCTTGACTCCCAGGCATTGCTTCTCTGGATATGCTCCAGTTCATTTCTCTTAACTTCCTAAAAGGTGCCTTTTTCTTCTTGGTACAGACCACTAGCCAGACGGAGCTTGAAAACTGGATCACCGCCATCCACTCTGCCTGCGCCACTGCGGTCGCGAGGCACCACCACAAGGAAGACACGCTTCGACTCCTGAAATCAGAAATCAAAAAACTGGAACAGAAGATTGACATGGATGAAAAGATGAAGAAAATGGGCGAAATGCAGCTGTCTTCAGTCACTGACTCAAAGAAGAAGAAAACGATATTAGATCAGGTAATCATTCTTCCGTGTTTGGATCTGGACAAAATTGTTAGGTCTCTAAAAGGGTTTTTTTTTTTGTTTTTTTTTTTTAAGAGAGTACTACAAACTGGGTGGCTTAAACAACTTTTTTTTTTTTTTTTTTTTTTTTTTGCTGTTTTGGAGTCAAGAGACATATCACATATCTCCTCGACAGCCTGTCATCCAGGATGCTAAATTCTTTATTTTGACTGTCAGTGTTCTTCACCCATTGTTGATGGCTGATTGTTAGCTGCTAAACAGAATAATATTACATTGAATGAAAGACAGAAACCTAATAGATGAGCCCCTGGCCCCCACCAGTGGTGTGCTGTTCTAGAGGATGTGTGTAATTAAGAAAGTTTGCGATTTCATTTCCACGTTACCAGACTGACTTGGAGTTCTCCTATGATGGGTACTCATTTCTGACTCCTCAGTAAATTTGGAGTTCTTAATTTGGAAAAGGTGACGTACATTTAAAAATATATCTGGCCAGGTATGGTGTCTCATGCCTGAATCCCAGCACTTTGGGAGGCTGAGGCAGGCATTTTCGCTTGAGCCCAGGAGTTCAAGACTAGCTTGACCAACATGGCAAAACCCATCTCTACAAAAAAAATACAAAAATTAGCCACAGCTTTAGTCTCAGGAGGCTGAGAAGGATCACCTGAGCCTGGGAGGCGGAGGCTGCAGTGGGCCAAGATTGTGCCATTGCACACCAGCCTGGGTGACAGAGCAAGACTATCTCTCTCTATATCTAGACTATATATACATGTACACACGCACACACACACACACACACACACATACACACACACACATAATTGCTTTATGTGTGCATAAGTATATTTCATGCCAAACAGAAAAGATTTAGTGAAATGAACAACGGACATTTTTACCTGCTATTCAGCTGTTTTAAAATCAGTGACAGCCATCTGGTAATCCTTTGACATTTTGTCCTAATGCTTAGGAAATAATTACATGAATAAATGATATTTAAATCATTGAACAATTGACACGGACCTTCCACATTTCTCTCCCTCTGGGGTTTCCCTTTGTTACCTGACACTGTATTTTCTTAATGAAGGCAAAATTCACAAAATGTCAACTATTGTAACACAAACGATTCAGTAGCATCGAGTACATGTACAGTGTGGTACAGCCACTACCGCATCTGGTCCCAGAATGTGTTCATCTACCCCAAAAGGTAACCTCATATCTGTTAAGCAGCTGCTGCCCTCTGCCCCGGCACTCTGTCTTCATGGATTTGCCTATTATAGATGTTTTATATGAATGGAATTGTACAATAGTTGGCCTTTTGGGTCTGGCTCCTTCCCAGAGCTTCATGTTTTGGGGGTGGAGCCACATGGTAGCATACATCAGTACTTTACTCTCGAGTTTTGGCTGAATCACGTTCTGTTGTAGGTACACACCATGCTTTGTTTATTGGTCATTGGTTGATGGACATTCAAGCTGTTCCCATCTTTTGTGACCAGTGCTGCTGGGAACACATGCGTACAGTGATACTGTATTTTGTTGAAGCAAAAGGGAGATTTCAACCATTCATCATTGTCTGTACTACTGTCAGCATTACTGAGCCTTCACTCTATGCCAGACCTTGTATTTACACTTGTTTTGTCCTTTTCACACATCCCATCAGCCTTAGGAGGTAGGTATTATTTTGCCACTTTGAAAAATGAGGGAATGTCCAGGCACGGTGGCTCACGCCTGTGATCGCAGCACTTCGGGAGGCCGAGGCAGGTGAATCACCTGAGGTCGGGAATTCAAGACCACCCTGACCAACATGGAGAAACCCCGTCTCTACTAAAAAAATACAAAATTAGCTGGGTGTGGTGGCACATGCCTGTAATCCCAGCTACTCGAGAGGGTGAAGCAGGAGAATTGTTTGAACCTGGGAGGCAGAGGTTGCCGTGAGCCGAGATCGCGCCATTGCACTTCAGCCTGGGCAACAAGAGTGAAGCTCTGTCTCAAAAAAAAAAGAAAGAAAGAAAGAGAAAGAAAAATGTGGGAATGTCTCAGAGACATGCTATGGCTGGAACTTTGTATTCCAGAGTCTTCGCACTGTCTAGGTGTTCTCCTTCCACCCTGTGTTCTGGGCTACCCCACTCTGCCCAAAAGCTCTTGGTCAGTTGCTTCTGGCCTTTAATTCATCTCACTTTTCTTTGTATGAAAACCCACCTCGTGTTAATTCATATAGTTCTCTGGTGCTGGAAATCTCTACATTGTCACTTCTCCAGCCTGGAGTTTGTGGCCCAGATCTTGGAACTGATAGACTTATAATCCCCCCAATACGAACTCCATGATAGAAGGGAACAGAACTCATCACTTTCTGTTTATCATGCTGAATGTATAGCTATAGATCTTTGCAGAAGAAACGTAAGTAACTAAGAAACTTAGGTACTTGTGGTTTATTCCTTAGGATTATAATGAATGCCTTTACAGCATGCAGCTTTGTATAGGATAAAGATGTTAACACTTGTTTTCCCTTTTTCTCACTTTTTCTTTTCCCATGTTTTCACTACCATAGATCTTTGTTTGGGAGCAAAATCTCGAGCAGTTCCAAATGGACCTCTTTCGTTTCCGCTGTTATTTAGCCAGCCTTCAGGGTGGGGAGCTGCCAAACCCCAAAAGGCTTCTTGCTTTTGCAAGTCGACCAACGAAAGTGGCCATGGGCCGCCTTGGAATCTTTTCCGTATCATCTTTTCATGCCCTGGTGAGTAGAAGTGAATGAGTTTTTAAAAACTTTAAGCTTGATGCTTAATCCTGAGCAGGACTTGACAAGAGTCTCCTAAGTGCTTTTCTAGTTTCTTGCTGTGTGTGTATTTCTGAAATGCCCCCTCTTTGCAGTGGATGCAAATTTCCATTTAAACCTGTCTGAAATATATTACTTCAGCATCTCTTGATGGGCAGTAAGCTATTGTGCAAAGAAAACATGAAAGGTTCCATCTTCAGCGTTGATCATGTGTAGTATTTGTTGATAGCTCTTGTTGTCTTTATGAAGTGTCATCTTTTGAATCCAAATGCATATTTTTTGTATTAACTTTGTGGGGATGGTGAGTGGAGTGCTCACTCTCATATATGTATGCATTCTCAGGCTGGGCACAGTGGCTCATGCCTGTAAACCCAGCCCTTTGGGAGGCTGAGGTAGGAGGATCATCTGAGGTTAGGAGTTGGAGACCAGCCTGGCCAACATGATGAAACCCCGTCTTTATGAAAAGCACAAGGGCCGGGCGCGGTGGCTCAAGCCTGTAATCCCAGCACTTTGGGAGGCCGAGGCGGGTGGATCACAAGGTCAAGAGATCGAGACCATCCTGGTCAACACGGTGAAACCCCATCTCTACTAAAACTACAAAAAATTAGCTGGGCATGGTGGCGCGTGTCTGTAATCCCAGCTACTCAGGAGGCTGAAGCAGGAGAATTGCCTGTGAGCCGAGATCGCGCCATTGCCCTCCAGCCTGGGTAACGAGCGAAACTCCGTCTCAAAAAAAAAAAAAAAAAAAAAAAAAGAAAAGCACAAAAATTAGCCGGGTGTGGTGACGTACACCTGTAATCCCAGCTAGTCAGGAGGCTGAGGCCTGAGAATTGCTTGAACCTCGGAAGAGGTTGTTGCAGAGAGCCAAGATCATGCCACTGCACTCCAGCCTGGACAACAAAGTGAGACTCTGTCTCAAATAAATAAATAAATGTGTGTGTGTATGTGTGTGTGTGTGTGTGTTTACATTCTCATTCTGTCTCTTTCTGCCACTCAATCACTCACACTCACATATACCGTATATGGAACATAGATCTCTTTGGAGATCTCCATTTCACTTTATTTTTACCATTGTTCTGATGACCATGAATACTCAATGCATACGGGAAGGCAAAGAACTTTGTGATTTGCCAGTTGAACATATGCATTGCTGGAGGAGGGGAATTTCCATCTGACCTCTAGAGCGGCAGATTGTATACTTGTGTTGTGTGTTTGTTATCTGTAATTTCATGTACTTGCTTAAGTGCGAGAAGCTTTGTGTACTTTTGGCTCCTTCTCAAAAATTGCTGTATGAGTAACATGGTTTTAGTCTCTCCAACTTGACACCCACTTAAAATGTACTGCACCTTAGCACATTTGCTGTGGAATTAAATGTTAAGTCTCAGGTTCCAGAAACTGCTTTGTAAAACCTTAGCTGTGCTGTTCTCTTGCTGTGTCAGCTGTACCCTTCAATTGCATTCAGAGCTATAATTCAGTCAGAGGCGTTTGTATTCTTTATAAATAGATTAGCATCATCATTCAGATAATTAGGGGTAGATTTACATTTTTAAAGAAGTCTTAAACCAATTTCTGGAGTTATTAAAACTGGCATCCTGATTTGTTCTGCTAATTACAGCTCAGCTCTTGGTCTCCCTGGCTACCACCTCTCCATACAGCTATTAAATCCTGTTTTTTCAGTCGTGGTGGGACAAAGTGCTGTGTTGAATAAACTTACAAAAGGTTTTCAGTTTGTGACTTTAGATCTGTTTTTCGGAGACCTGGACACCAGTTTTTAACTTAGCCAAATCTCAGTTCACCTATTCCGCAAAACCAAAAACAAACACAAAAAACTAGGATAGAAATTCTTCTTTATTTCCTTCTTTATCATCCATTGAGGATGCATTTTTATGAAGGGAACTTGTGATGTCATTGAGGTCCCATCTGTATTAATACTAAGCCCTGAGCATCAAAGTGGCTCCCTCCTCTTACTGTACGTTGCTACATTTTGGAGAAAATAATGTTGCTTTCTCCCTAAAACTTGTATGCTTTCATTATTTCCTTCAAAGCCATTGGATGCAATCTCCCTGAGAAGGTTACTGTCTTACTCTTCCATAATTGATCTTCAGACCCTCTAATTTCCTTCGTCTCAATGTCTGCGATGTGTGTGTACTTTTCTTGCAGGGGGCAGACTATTAAAATTTGGCCAGCTGAAGATGGGGATGGGAGAGTTAGTTACTCTTTTAGGTTTTTTGGTCAGTGGTTTTAAAGAAGAACATTTAAGTCCATACATTCAGCTCTCTGTTCCTTTGTTTGGTTTTTGCCTGTTTTGTCAGTGATGCAAGTCAGGGTGTTTCTGTATGCCCCTGCAGCTTCTCTTTTCTGTGAGGGGTTTTATTTCCATCAGAACAAGTCACGCGAGCCTGTTGGGTGTCTATTGCTGTTTGTCGCTTTAGCTACTGTGGACGATCCCGGGCGGGGAGTTTTGCAGTCCAATTTATTAGGCACTCCTTATTTTCGTTCCCTCCTCTCCTTGTCATTTGACCCCTGGGATTTTTTTTCTCCTTGGGGTTGAAACATTCTTCAATTTAGTCTTTGTCCAGAATTTATTTTTCTTCTTTTCAGTGGGGGAGGAGGAAGGAGGAGGTGTGAGGGTAACGGGACTGGGTCGGGGAGATGGGAGCTGTGATTGAAGTAGCATTCACTGAGAGAGCTTCCCATAATGCTGAGTGATTTGCGGTAATTAACTGAAGGGTCCCCGCTGTACTCTTTGAATGAAGGTTATCATTGTTCTTGTTTGCACAGATGAGCAGAATGATAGAGTAATCAGGTTCAGGCCACAAAGGGAGGCATTGTCTGGGCAAAGATCATTGAGAAACTCTTGAGCTCTTGTCCAGCAGTTCTTCTGTCAGCCTTTTTTTCTAAATCCCTTTGCTCATTTTGAGTCATTATTGTGTTGAGGCAGTGGTTACTTTTGCAGTTTACAAGGCCCCGAGCAATGTAGAAGAGTGCTTTAAGAAACTTAAGCAAAGTGTTTGTTAAACAGACTAAACTAACTAGTCAGCTGGTAACTGAGAATGTGTAAATGTGTATGGATGTATGAGTTTCTCTTTCATGATCTTTTTGTCCGGAAATTGTAAAACAAAGAGTTACCTTTTCATTGTTGCTGCCGTGTTATATAGGATATGCTTTTGCTTTGTGGTATTATTTGTTTATTTGTTCAAGCAACAAACATACATGTAAGTGCCTGGGATTTGTCGGTTTTATCCTTGTGACTAGGATTATAGTGAACAGCACAGACAGCCTGTCCTCTTGGAGCTTATAGTCTTGTGGGAGAGATGGGTGAGAAATAAGTGAACAATTAACTAGACACGGGGAGTACAGGCATTGCTGCATCTATAAAGAAAACAAATGCTAATATATGTCAGCGTATTTATATGGCTGCCTGTATATGTGTGTCGCTTATTAATGGCTGGACTTATTTATAAATAAGACCGTATGACCATGAGGCCAAATGGACATCTTTTTCCTCTAGAATTTAAAAATTTTAACAGTATTTTTTTTCAGTGTTGTGAGCATATGTGTGTCGGCATGTTATAATTTATTCCTTTTACAACCTTTGTTTACCTTTAACTCAGAAAGTGATGAAAATAGAGAACATTTGTATGTATTTTATGGTATGTTTGTCTTGTGATTTTGTTCCCTGTGACACTTCCAGTGTAATCTTAGATTAAGACCTTTCAAGTAAAAATTTCCACCAGTGTCTTGGATGCCACATTTTCTATGCCCTGGTCCGGGCTGGCGGCAGCTGTTGTTTTAATGTGCTAAGCTGAGAAAATGCAAAATGCAAAACCTCTCAGCTCCCTCATCTTCCTATTTTCGTTTGGGTCCAGAAACCTTCCCTCTAATACCCTTGTAGAGAAGCTGTTTTGATTCCTGTTTTTAATGTACAAAGGGGTCCCTGCCAACCCACCCGTGGGGCTTCTGCGGTGTTTACACTGTCAATACTGAAGCCCCAGAGAGGCTGGCGATCCAACCAGCACGCGGACTCCTGGGAGACCCCACATGTTACCCACACTGCATCACCACCCGAGTTGCTGCCAGTTGGCATCTGCCACACTGGGAGTTGCCTGTGTGGGAATCTACAAGTAGGTTCCAATACATTCACCTCTGGCAACAGAAGAGTGGGTGGAGAAGCTTCATTTCAAGTCAGACTCGCTCTCCCTCCTGCCACTCCCGTTTTTGAAAGTAGAAAGTCGAGTCCGTGGGTGGCCTGTGGAGACCTCCTCAGGCAGAAGTTCCCTTAAGTTCCGGGGACTTTGCTTGCCACCTGGAGGATAAAGTTCAAGCCTGAGTGTTTCGCCTGGGAGGACTTTCTGGAGTCCTTGTGGAGATTGTCCTTGAGCGGTTATCATCATGGTGACAGATTTACATTCAGGGCATTCCCTTGTGAAATGCTTCTCTGGGTTGCTGGCACATTGTAGTATCTCAACAGGGTTTAGCTTCGGTTTAACAAAAAAATACGAGTTTTCTTTCCCATTTACCTGAACACAGGACATGTAAGTGATGCAAGTCTGTTAAAGTACCTTCATCTTCAGTAAGCCAGGTCCCTTCTGTCTTGTTATTCTGCCATCCTTGAAAAGGCTTCTGGGCTGGGCGTGTTAGCTCACCCCTATAATCCCAGCACTTTGAGAGGCCCAGGTGGGCGGATCACCTGAGTTCAGGAGTTCGAGACCAGCTGGCCAACACGGTGAAACCCTGTCTCTACTAAAAATACAAAAATTAGCTGGGCATCGTGGCAGGTGCCTGTAATCCCAGCTACTAGGGAGGCTGAGACGGGAGAATCGCTTGAACCTGGGAGACTGAGATTGCAGTGAGCCAAGATCACAAAAGCGAAACCCCATCTCAAAAAAAAAAAGGAAAAAGAGAAAAAAAAGGAAAGGCTGCTGTAGGAACATCCCAGACCACCACACAGACCTTCCTTTCATCAGGAAAAAGAAAAGCCAAGGATAGCAGAAAGCCCACTCCTATTGAGCACGATTCCTGGAAGCTGCAAATAGTTTTTTTGCTTACATGCCGTTGACCTGAACTGAAGCCCAATCCATGCCCTACTGCAAGGGAAATAAGTCACCTTGGACTTACTGGCTACATGCTCACTTATATTTGAGATTCTCTGCCCCTCCTGCCCCCTTTTTTTGAGACAGAGTCTTGCTCTGTCACCCAGGCTAGAGTGCAGTGGCATGATCTTGGCTCACTGCAACCTCCACCTCCTGGGTTCAAGCAATTCTCCTGTCTCAACCTTCCAAATAGCTGGGATTACTGGTGCCTGCCACCACACACGTCTAATTTTTGTATTTTTCAGTAAAGACGGGGTTTCACCATGTTGGCCAGGCTGGTCTCGAACTCCTCACCTCAGGTGATCTGCCTGCCTTTGCCTCCCAAAGTGCTAAAATTACAGGTGGGAGCCACCCAACCCGGCCTACATTTGAGATTTTTCTGACTAAGATGGAATAGAGAATGGACATTGGGGGCCAACAATCACTTGCCTGATTTTAAAATGTGATTTTATATATTCCAAGAAAACAAAATAGTAGAGATTGGTAATTTTAGATTTAATCTGAAAACCCAGGAACCAAAATCTGCTGTTTTTCCACTGTTGTTGCTGACACTTGGGCACCATTTTTCAATAGAATGCAGAAACAGCTCTGCAGCAATTGGAGAGAAAGCCTGGCTCATTTCCCTTGCTGCTGTAGTTCAAGCCTGTGACCAGAAGGGCCTGTCATTTTTGGAAACAGAACATACATGTTTTATTCCTATATTATATCATTTTACTGATGATTTCAAACAAGGATCGAATTTGCCAGCCTTTCATTTCCGTTCTGAATTCATGAAGGGCTCTCAAAGTCCCAATATGCTTGGGTCATGGATTGAATACTTTGGACGTTGGGGTCAGGGTTGGCTGGCATGATGGAGGAGGGGTTTCCAAAGGGTGGGACTTACTAGGGACCTCAGGGCACAGGTGGGTGGTCCTGACGCATCTCCCTGTGGCTGCTTGTCCTTGCCGTCCTCAGGTTGCAGCACGCACTGGCGAAACTGGAGTGAGAAGACGTACTCAGGCCATGTCCAGATCTGCAAGCAAGCGAAGGAGCAGGTTTTCTTCTCTTTGGGGTCTGGATACTACCTCCAAAAAGAAGCAGGGACGCCCAAGCATCAACCAGGTAGGTCCAGAGCAGATGACAAGCAAGCCTGCACAGATTGCTTCTGTGGCCACCTCGGTTTGGGATGTGTGTGTTTCTTTATTGAGATTGAGTGTTGTTTAAAATCAGTAGTTGACACAAAGAAGCTATCTGTGCTAGACACTTGGTAGATAATGCATCCCCATAACATTGAACTCTGCTATTAGTCTGTCACTAAGCTCTCGTTTTCCACCTGCATCCTTTCCAAACCCTGGTTAATTACAGACCTACCCAAAGAGCACAATTCACCCCGAGTCTTCAGGACAGAGCAGGGCTCTGCGATGAAGCCAAGTGGGTACCTGAATGCAGAGTCCTTTCTTTTCTCTTTTTTTTTTTTTTTGAGATGGAGTCTTGTTCTGTTGCCCAGGCTGGAGTGCAGTGGCACGATCTCAGCTCAGTGCTACTTCCACCTCCTGGGTTCAAGTGATTCTCCTGCCTTAGCTTCCCAAGTAGCTGGGACTACAGGCACGAATTACCATGCCTAGCTAATTTTTTTTGTGTTTTTAGTAGAGACACATTTCACTGTGTTAGCCAGGATGGTCTCGATCTCCTGACTTTGTGATCCACCCTCCTTGGCCTCCCAAAGTTCTGGGATTACAGGTGTGAGCCACTGTACCCGGCTAATTTTTGTATTTTTGGTAGAGACAGGTTTCACCATGTTGGCTAGACTGGTCTTGAACTCCTGACCTTGTGATCCACCTGCTTCAGCCTCTCAAAGTGCCAGGATTACAGGCGTGAGCCACTGGACCCAGCCGTGCAGAGTCTTTTTAAGTCTTTATGCTGGATGAAAGGCAGCCTCTAGGGAAATCCGGTTGTTTCTGTGCCCTTGACTTTTTGGGGTTGGCATTAAATGGGCAGATCCCTCTGCCTACTGGAATGAGGAGACAGGAATCCAAGAGCGCTCGCCCACTGCCACAACCCCCTTCTGCTCAGGTCCAGGGCTGGAAAGGTATGTCCATGAGGTCACAACCTAGCCTGGTGCCATGATGGGTCACTGCTGACCATGTGCAGCCCCTGGTTCTTCCCCATTAATTTGACTTCTTCACTCGCCAAGGCCAGCCTCCTGCTGGAGTTACTTCTGTGAAGCTCACTCTCTGTTGTTATTGCCATCCTTAGCGTTTGGCTTTGAGAAATGAGTATTTCCAGAACTGCTTGTTTAGATTTTAGGGGCTAAAGGAACATGAGCATCTGTAGTCTTTTGGAAGAAGAATGTGCAGTTCATGGGCTGGAAAGTCAGGCCTTAAGCATTTTGGAGGCCATGACTACAACTGCTATGACCTATTCGCCCTGTGCCCTTATGCAAAGTGAGAAGATGTCATTGACTGACTTGCTAGAATGATCTCTCCTTGTTTGCTCTGACAGTTCCAGCCATTAATTTACTTAAGAAATGAACGTTAGAAAAGAGATTAATCCTGAAAGCTGATGCACTGAGTCCCTTAGCTGACTACCATATTCATTGGAGAATTTTTATTTTTGAGATGGAGTCTCACCCTGTCGCCCAGGATGAAGGCTCACTGCACCCTCCGCCTCCCAGGTTCAAGCAAGTCTCCTGCCTCAGCTCCCTGAGTAACTGGGATTACAGGCGCACGTCACTACGCCCAGCTAATTATTTTTGTATTTTTAGTAGAGACGGGGCTTCACCATGTTGGCCTGGATGGTCTCCATCTCTTGATCTTGGGATCCACCCACCTCAGCCTCCCAAAGGTGGATGACAGGCGTGAGCCACAGCACCCAGCGTTACATCCCATTTCTCCTGAAACATATAACTAAATTTAAATGAATTCAAGAGACTGTTTTAACATTTTTCTAAAGTCAAAGCACAATGTAATGTCTTAGAAACAATTCTTGTAATTTTTTTCTTAAAGTATGAGTTTTTAAGAACCTTTTGCTTAACCATAAATGTACCAGTAGATATTTGCTCATTAATTCTGTAATTTGAAATGGACAAAAATTTTTTTTTGGCCAGGCGTGGTGGCTCATGCCTGTAATTCTAGCACTTTAGGAGCCCAAGGTGGGGGATTGTTTGAGGCCAGGAGTTTGAGACCAGCCTGGGCAACATAGCAACAACCTGTCTCTACCAAAAAAAATTTAACGCATTGTATGTTTTTGTATGTTTTATTTGCATGGAGGAAAGGCGTTTTCTTAATTGTGTACATTATCCTGACATTACTTGCTTGTTTTAGGGATAATCATAAAATTCCCTACGTCCGTGAGTTTCAGTACCTAGTGGCATTGCTACCCTCTTCTAATTTTCGTGATATCTTTAAGTTGGCAGGACTGATTACATTTCAAAGAAGAGACAATTTTCTATGTTTTAAATTAAAAAAAAAAAAACCTATGTTGCCATGTTGAGGTAAAAAAAACTGTAATCTTCATACATTCTACTGAAAAAAGTATTACAAAGCAAGCAGAATTTTAGTTACAAGTCTCGGATTGGTTATATGAGGCTATAGGAGACATGCTTCCTTGTAAGTTTATCTAGTTCATTGCTTTTTCTTTTATTTATT